TGGGATGTGTCTTTTTGAGCAGAAAAGATGTGGGAAACATTCGGGCCATTTGTAGTCAATCGGAAATCGGAAAGAGATCTTCAACAGACCCCTTCTAATGACCAAAGACATAATATAAAGCCACATTAGATTCCTTGTGGAAAATAAGTTGTCATATCGTTCTCCACTTTTAGTGTAACTTTATGAAAATTGAAATTATACTTTCTTGAAATCATAAGGTAATTTACTTGTGATTAGTGAATGTAAATCATCGTGCCAAGAAATAAACCAAATATGAACACACACAACACGAACGTCTATCTGTCACCTCGCGAAATGAATCCTCAACTAGCCATGCAACAGAATACACAATCATCCACCAATCATACCAACTGTTCTCAAACAAACTTCAGTATCTACCTTGAAATATCAGATGAAATGTCACCGTGGTTCGCTTTGGTCTTAGGTAGAACAAATCGCCCTAACCCTTTTTTCAATCAAGTTGCATTAAGAAACGTTTTCGAACACCGGAAGGAGAAAATGATACATAAAGCGAGATTCGTTACTGGTCAAACGCATTTGCTGAAACTGGTTTCTGTTCTGTTGGGCACAGTTTGATCAGCACGGAGCTGCCCGGTTCGGAGTGCGACTGTGTTTCGCTTTTGTGGTCCCGATCTCAACCCTGAACAACACATGCCAGGCAGCGCGGTGAGCATAATCGATTTGTCTGTTCAGTGATTGGTGCACGACAGGTTTAACAACGCATATATCACCCTATATTTTGTCTTTTTTATAAATATATTAGTAGAAATAGTACAAAAGTAACTCTGTGATGCAATAGTCCGGTTGGATCTACGCAACACAGATTAAAAACATGGTGGGATAAGATTAGTATTGATGCGTACTGGGCTAGTCTGCTTTACTTATCTATTCAATGGATTCAACTACATTTATGGACCAGGGGAATCGATAACTAGCTGGAAAGTTCGATGGGGTTGGAACAACTGGACTGGGAACTCGATTCCGGAATCAGTAAACATAGAGACGATCGCGGAAGAAATGTCTACTAGTAATACTGTTCACTAACTCAGACTATAGAACGCACTCATGCGGAAACTTGAACGCCGATATGCAACTTTGGTTACACCTGTCGACTGTCGTACGTGTGCATACGCGTGCCGACTGCGCCCGCGCGCGCGCTCTCCGTACACCAACCAATCGATTAGAGCAGAAACACCACCATTAGGCTGCATTTCTGCGAATGTATCCGAACGATTTTGCGGTTTCAAAGGGCAGAAAGACCCGGTTACCATTATTTTCGCCAAGACACTTGAAAATCTACCCTCGGACAAAATTTCAATAACAAGAGTTGAGGGACAGTTTGCATGTAACTGTGTTCCACTTAGGGAGCTACGTCATACATATGTCTTTATATATATAATGACGAACAGGAAAACTATATAAGTCAGAGTATTACCTTAACTAGGTTATAAACAATGTGAGATTACGGAGAGGGCTCAGACTGTGGCCAACACCGAGGCAGGCTGAAGTTATAGAGCCTAATACATGTACTACCAACCGTTTATGAGAGGAATAGGTTTTTCAAAAAGAAATCTGACTGATCAAAAATCACCAAGAAATCGGTCGTAGAACATACCGTGCATGCACGAGTTGTATCTGGACCTTCCGAGAAAAGAAATCCCTTTAATTGTAGGACTGTTGTGCCTTCTTTGGCCATCTCTCCAGTTTTCTGCTCGCACCTGGAATACAGTTGAAACTACAAGAAAGCTGCCCCCCACTGTGCCTCTAAGTGAAAAACCTTCTCACCCTAGTAAACCGCTCGGAGGACAGACTACGTCAAGTTGGGCGTAACCGAGAAGCTTGAAACTGCCTAATCCGGACAATGATCCATGGCCTTGTTGTTCGCACTTCCTTTTGTAAAAAAACCAAACGAAAGTGCTGAAAATACCATTTCATATCACATTTGCATGACTCTTTTATGGGCAAGGAGAGCCTATATTTCACTCAAAAAAACTAACATCGAATGCCTAGGCTCCATACGCGGTCCGTAGAGACTGTCCGTGAACCACGAGAATGGATTACAGTCTGCAAGGAGCTCGCCACCAAAACTCGCACATGAAAAGCATAGTTTTCAACAAGTTAAAACGCTGGAAATGACAGGGTTATTGAGTATAGTAATACAAACATGAAAAATGGAGAGAGTAATCTTTTGATTTATGCGGCCATGTCTTGCAGGAGTTGATTGTCGACCACGCAGCTCGAGTTCCGATTCACAAGCGGCAGGTTTACAGTTCGATGTCCGTCCGAAACACACTGTTGACGAAGCCAAACAAAAAGTAAAAATCTAACAAGTCGCTCTAATCTCAGCCCTAAGACTAGTTTGAAATCATGTACCGGTCAAGGTACACAAATTTGCAATTTGCAATTTGGTTCCACTTTCCGGACCATAGCACACTCCGGTGCTGAACGTCTCCGACCCACTGAACGGCTTAGGGCAGATGGCAAAAGTTCTCATACTGTGTACCACGCAAACGACGGATTCTCCATCACGTAGTTATCTTAATAACCTTTGTTCTCTTCAACAACCAATTATAGTGTCAGATATATACGGATGCATTCTGATTTTGCACGTGTCAGAGTCAGGGCAGTGTAACTCACTGGATCATATCCAAACTCGTGTTATACGATTGTGCCAGTCGGGTCATACTCGATCCGCGCTGATTTTGGTGCGGCAATTCATCCATCGGGCCAGAACGCATTCGAAAGCTGAGAGAATGGGATAAATGGGGCTCAGCACTAGGTAGCGGATTTGGAAAGCC